TATTTATATTAGCACTGCTTTTAAGATCTGAATTTATTCAACTGAAATATTTGCGCTAAATAACGGAAAACTTTTTCGCAAAAAAGAAAAATCTCCGCTGAACACAGAGCAGTGAAAATGATAAAGCAAAAGTTGAAACTATCCTTATTACCTGCCGGAAACAGGAAATTAGTACAAAACACAACAAACTTATCAGCGCACAAAATCGGTACTGGCAGCACTTTTACACAGAAACACAAACGCAAATATCAATGCCAATACCAATACCAACACTAACACTAACACCAACACCAGCACCAACTCAACAAAAGCAACGACAGGAAAAGGAAAATGAAAATGAGCAACAACGAAAGCAGCAAATTCATAATATTTTAACCAAACAAATGCTGTTTGAATGCTGCGAGTGTGCGGCACTCGTTGTGTAATGTCTGTGTAATTTGTGTGCAATGCCAACGAGAGAGCGAGTGAAATGAAAATGTGCTCATTTTCATTTACGGTTTGTTGTGAAGTCGTCGAACAGTGCACAGTGAACAGTGCCTTCAGTCACAGCGTGAACGTACAAATGGTATCATGTGTGTGTCGGTTGAATTTGTTTAGTGTGCGTTTATGATTCGGTCTGGAATTACACCAACCCAAGAGCCCAACAGGCAAGCAGTGAATGAATAAGAATTCTGAACTGATTTTTAGAATTCAGTTGCACGGTGACTTGCTATGCAAGCGGTTAATGAACGCGCAAGTTGTAGTGAAAAGCTCTTAGTGAATGCATTGTTTATTGTTGTTTTAATGGCAAATAAAAACGTAGCAGTGCAAATGAAATGCAAATGAAGCAACAAAGTGAATTTAAATGAAAAAAGTGATTTACAGGCCAAAAGTAAGCTCACAAGTAGAAATGTTATTTTAAGTGAAATATACGCAAGAATATATGCTAAAAAATACTCATGAAAATTTATAAAATTTAAGAAAAATAATAACAGCAAATAGGGTGGATTACAAACAGAAATCAAACTCACAACGCCAAAAACAAAAAAAATAAATAAAATAAAAACAAATATAAAAAACATATAAGACCAGCACAAATCCTGTCTAAGAACGAACCTGAGAAAGGACGAACGCATAAAAACGGTAAACATAAATTTTGGAATAGATACGACTACATTCTACATATAGAATGTAGTCGTATGTAACGTTTGTATATGAGCGCGAAATTGTATCTAAAGTTTCCAATGTGTTGCTCGAGAGATGAAGTACGTCTTCAGCACACAAGGACTGTTGTTTATGTTGGCTTCGCAATTTAGATTCAAAAGGAAAACTTTTCATTTCAAAGTTCAAGCTGAGAGCAACTCAGCTTGGTTTGCCCTTGATATGCACTTCATTGTCGGTGTATGCGAAGTGCTTAAGCTGCAAATCCACTTCCGGAAATTCCCTTTAAAAGTGTAAAATAATCAGAAATTCAAAAATGTTTCCAAACACAAATGCTTCCAATTTTAAGTCTGAAATATTTGAGTTTGTGACAATTTCGTCAAATTGCCGCTTGCATTTATGTGCAGAGCAATCAGACCAAGCCCCCAGCCAACCAACTCTGTCTCTGTCCTCGTCCTCAACATCGTCGTTATCAACTTCAATAAAATCCTCTTGAGCACTTGATACTTCGTGCTACAGTTCCAACTGCTGCTTTGCTGCACTGCTGCACTGCTGTACTGGTGCACACTTGAAATCACTTTATCCACAGCAGCAAGCAGCAAGCAGCAGCAGTTGCTGCCAAAGTGGCTGACAATAATTTTGAACAAGACAAGGATGAAGTTGATGACATTGGCATGGTTTGATATTTTGTGGTACTTCATATTTTGTTCGAGGAGTACAAGAAGTTGGGGTGGCATTAGAGAGCTATTCCATTAGGGGAACTTCTTCTTATTCTTCTTACTGGTCTTACTGGTTAAAGACGCGTTTTCGGCATTCACACAACACAGAGAATGCTTCATTGAGGAAACATTTAAACAATATTCGGACTAGAAGTGAGCACTTCACTTTACTAGCACCACTCTACGCCACAGTTGTGATGCTGCAAGCTGCATTTGATGATGTTGCATTATCCACTTTAGTCTATATTTGAAAAATAGTTTCTGCAGTGGAAACTACTCACGCTAAATAAACTAAAATTGCACCAAAAATAGAGAAAAATCTTTATTTTTGGAGTTTTCGGTTGCTCCAATCGGGCATTGAATTTATCGAATTTTGTCTTGAATAAATAAAAAGTATGACGGGAATTTTAATAAAGCACTCAAGTGGTACTGGAGAGCTGGAGCACCTCCACTGAGCGCTGCTCTTCTAATATCTATTCAAATTATATTTAAATCAACTCGAAATGCATTGTTGTTGAATTGCTAGGATTTGAGACATGACCAAGTAGTCAAAAATGTTAGTTTATGCAAATTGCTCTTTGATGGAAAACGTAGTACATCTGTGTAGCCAAAGGAAAGAGTTTTCAAATTGCTTAATATGAGATGAGATAGATTGGAATAAATCACATGCATTTAAGAAAATATTGAAAATCATTGGTTTATTTTTATATATTATTTCTTAAAAAAAATGCAATTTCCATTAAATGTTTCTTTTTTTAATTTTGAGCTAAATGTGGTGTTGGTAAGAAAAAAACAAAAAATTTTCCAACTATATGCTTTGAACCCTTCAATCTCTGAGTTAACACAAATATATAGTAAAGTAATAAAGTAGTAGAATGTAAAAGAATTTTGAGAATAAACCGGTTACCTAACAGAACCAAACACTATTTTATCTTTTGTACCTAAAACCAATTCTAAGGGAACGAAATAATTTAACCTTTCAAATGAGGAAGAGAATGTCCTTCGCTAAAGAGTTCCTAATATTGAACAGATTCGAAAGTATCTCCCTTTTTAAGTACCTTTAAACCCAAATATTCTGGCAAAGATGATATTTGGTCAGACAATGCAGATTAATATTACAAGCAATCTGTTAGCAATTACAGCTCTGCCTTATTGGGAGGAGTGTTTCTTTGTAGTCCAACAAAAGTACTGATACTTTAGCATTTGAAATGAATAACAGAATGTAACTTCTTTGTTAAGGTATAGTCAGAAGGCCTTTCTAATATCATCCAGGTCCAATTATACAGGCAGAGATGACATTCGGTTAGACAAGGGAGATTAATATAATCCGACAGCTAATCTGTCAGTAACCTCTGCCTTATAAAGGAAGACAGTTCTTTCGAGTTGACAGAGTGAATGAGATAATTGAATCCAATCATATTTAAGAGTTCATGACATTGGAATTATATTTCCCAACTGGAAAAAACTTATGATAATTTTATAGTTTATAGTTACATAAAGAAACTGTCTAACATAATGTTTTCTTCTACATACATATATGTATGTACATACATTAACTTCGCTTTCCCGACTCTATATAAGGAAGCTTCTTTGCGTATGATATTGACAGGACAGAGATTATTATAACCAGACGTCTTTTCAATTTTAGTAGAACCTTTCTAATAGATATGTACTCAATACTAATAAATATTGAAAGTTAGTATATTTTAATAATATTTGATTTAAATTTGAAAAATTTTTAATAATATTTGATTTGAATTTGAGGAACTCTCTTGATTTATAATCAATTACTACATTGCAAGAAGTCTCGTCATCCCGTAGATAAAGAGTACATTTTGCAACTAAAGTTAAACTTATTATATGGAGTCTGTTGTGGAGACTTGTCAGTGAACTTGTTATATTCAATCTTCAATCCAAACTTATTGAGAAATACTACCTTACTGGGACCAGGTAAAAACATTAATTCCACCTGTTAAAACACCATTTATTTGCATGGTACTCTTAAATTTAGGAGTACTAAAAAGTTGTATTAACAGTAATTGTTAAAGTTTCAAACAGTTTCCAGTATTCATTGATTCTAAAACAATTCGTTTGCATTACGCATTTCGTATTTCTGACCTGACAATACCATTTTAGTAACGTATATCAAGTTGAATAATGGTACAAGGATTATATCTTTCGTTTAAAATTCGACATTTTATATTTAGGAACTATTAGTAACTGCTAAACATACTAAAATTGTAAAAACTTACTTCGGTAACTATGACGAATTTTCGCATCGAGTTTTCTTCTGTGGTGGTTATTTGAATAATGTTGTATTTAACATGTTTTAGTAAAATTCAAAAAATATATTAAAATAAAATCAACAATTGATTAAAATCTCATTTGCTCATCAGCATGATAACTCTCTCAGGTCGTTATTAAAAAGGCCCTCAATGATTTTAAATCCGCTCCTACCCAATGATAAACACTGAGACATGAGGTGTATGGTAGTACTGTTATCTACCTAGTACACAATAACCCGTCAGCAACGATACCGTAGTGCTGTTGAAGCAGTTGACTGATGCGTTTCTTTTCCAGTTTGGATCAGGTTGATTTAGATATACTAGCAATAGAAGTGTATTTACACTTTAAATATTTATAAATATAACATTTGAAAATATTTATTTAAGATTATTAATTACTTTAATATTGTGGTTTTCAATAAACAGGTTATGGCAAAATCTCTGTGTCTAGGAACTGCTATCGAGTCTTAAAAGTGTGTTTTTCCTTTCGATGACTGATTTTCTATGAGGTCGAGGTCTACGATTACTGATTCACTTAATGTAATTTAATTATTTATAAGAAATTGCAAATATTTTACATTGAAGAATTTATTATGCTTTGAATAAATTTCTTGTAAATAAGCAACAAACTATCCCACAACAATGTTGCCAACATTTTTATTTTTAATTTTCCTTTCATATTCATCTTTTTCCATTTTGTTTGAGGATTCGCATTTTTTTTCATTTATCAAGTAGTAACTCAATTATTCATGAATGAATTCATTAGTGCAAAATAATTATGAATTTTTGAATGAAAATAATTAAAAATGAGTTTAATTTTATCTTGAAACCCTTTGGGTAGACCTCCTCCCGACTTTCCCTTTCAATGCCTTAGTTTACTAACATATTTCTGAAAACCATTCAACTCAAGTGAGATACTTGAACACCTTTACTTGACATTTGAGCTGTTCTAAACAGTTTTTTTTTCCTTCTTCTTAACTGCAATTTGTTTTTGTTTTTCTTTTCATATTTTTCACTCCTTTTTATTCTATCCACGACTTTACTTCGCAATTCTTAGCAACAATCCAACACCCCTTGTTATGCCAAATATTGCAAATTCCATCTTGAATTTCTTGCAATTGTCGCACTTAAAATAATTCTTTTCAATTTTTTAAATTGTTCACCTCGTGGAATGGTAAAAATTGTGATATTGTAAAGGAATATCAAGAGTGGTGGGTAGCGTCGGCACCACCTCAGCTTCTACGTTTTCAATGGCTCACAGTTACCAGCATTGCTGAAAAAAGTACCAACAACAAAAGCAACAACAAACGGAAGAAGAATAAGCAAAAGTAGAAAATGTATAGCATCAAGCATGAAGCATTAACAGCAGCAATAACAGTAACAACAACAACAATAGTAACAACAGCAGTAATAACAGCAACAACAATAATCAAAATAATGGAAAAGTATTTATTCGCAATTGTAATTGTAATTGTGAAAAGCGCGTTGGTGCGTTTTATTTGACATTGTTAACTTGACTGACGGGACAATTGAATGAGCAAATGAATGAATTATTGAATGAATGAATAAATGAATGAATGAATGATAAATTGCTTGTAAGCAAATATTGTATGGCGTAATGCTGCTTCTCATTCATTTGCGTTTAAGTTCAAATGAAAATTAAAGATGACGCGGTACTCCGAACTGCTTCAGACAAATTAATGAACTCAAGCAAATTTTACTTCACTTACTTTAAGTGTTGCTCTCATAAAAGTTCTAAATAAAAATCTAAATAAAACTACGAAATGGGTTAAGTGTTACATCATGAACTGACAGCCCGTTGTTTTGTACCAGCATCTACAATTCTACGGTATCGGTAACAGCCGTCGCAATAACAATTCTTATACTCAACGAAGCAATAAAATCATTTTGCATTCCCCAACAAGGGTTTTATGACATAAAGTTCTCGTTTTTCCTTCCTACTTCGGACAGTCAGACT